TGAGGGTCGGGGTACCAGACCAAAATGGCTGGTTTGGCGCCAGCCAAATGAGGCCCGCGCCGGTTCGTTTTTCTTTGGCACACAGGGCATTTTCCGGGTAGGCTTCAATAGCTGGACGAGGTAGTACTGATGGTTTAAACTGCCAGTACCTTTCTCATATATTGGCCGCGGGCGCTGCGGGCCAAGCGCGGCCGATGGATCTGGTCGGCGCCGGAGGCAGAATTGGGCCTCCGTGTTAACTGCCGTGCCCCGGATCTCACCAGTACCTGCTAACGCGCCGGCCACGGGCTGAACGAATGGGCCACACGGAAAGCGCCCAAATTCATCGGACTGGAAATGTTTCCACTCGATTTTTTTCCTGCGGCCGATATATGGCCGAAGTACTGGCTGTTTAGAGTACTGACCAACTTTCATGGGAGGACTGGTCTGGGAGTGTGCTCTTTTGGGGAAGTGTCAAAAAATGAGTCGGAAAAGGGAATCCCAAGTTTGCAAGGCCTGACAAATTTTTTCTTGATATACCTGCCGCGAAGGGCCCCAAAGAAAACGAAAAGGCACCTTGTCAGGTCTGCATGCCAATATATCACTAACTAGGAGATCATATCATCGTTGATGTAATGGGGCTGTTAGAGGCCTCAAATGGTCTATGGCACTGCACCTGAGGCCTGTTCGGGCCGGACATAGCTGGGGCATAGTGGCTGCATTAGATGGAAAAGGTAACCTTGTATACAGAACTTTGTTCTAGGATGGAAAAGGTCGCCTTGTATACAGGAGTTTGTTCATCCTCTAGAAAAGGGGATGTGTGGTAGTTGCCGTTTTGGGAAACATTTGATAGGAGAACGGCGAGATGTTGACAGACTAACTTTTCTGCAAACAATTTCAGTGTTTTTTCTCTGGAATATTTGGTCTTGCTCCACTGCTCTTCACACATGAAATTTGATAGTGGGCCATCGCTCCGCTTACTCTATTTCGGGGTGGAAAAACACTTGGAGAGCTGTCACAACACGTCGTTGAAAGGCATTCTCCAAGCTTGGAGAGCTGCCCGCCTGCAAAAGCTGTTATTTGGAGAGTCCTCGCCGAGAGGGGCCCACGAGTGTCCAAAATCCGAGAGTCCTAGAGTCTTGGTGGACAAACCAGGACTTGCAGATGTCTCTTTGTGCTCCGAGTACTCGTCAATTCAGAGAGTCCTTTCGTGTTGGAGCACAACCTTGAAAGGCACAAAGCTTAAACCACCAGTACATGGCCCAGCTATTGGCCGCGGTGCTTCCCTGTTAATGCGCTGCGGCATTCGGGCTTTGGCCTACCGGACCGCATTGGCTGGAGGCCACATTCAAAATGAAAACAAAAAAGCGGGCCACAGCCAAAATGAAAACAATTTAACGACGTTGGTTCGGTAGGACTTGGCGCTCAGGGGGCTGGGAGGCTTGGCTTCGATAGCTTGGCCAAGTACTGGTGGTTTAAGACCTCCCTGCCTGCAAAAACTGTGATTTGCAAGTCCAAGTGTGGGAGGCCAATGGATGCCCAAAGTAAGGGAGTCCACCTCAAGTCTGGGCGGACAAACTGGGGCTTGCAGATGTTTTTTTGTGCTCTCCAAGTTCTTGTCGATTCGGAGAGTCCTTATGTTGAAAGTAAGTGGAGCGGTGATTGTGTTTTTGCTTTTTGGATAGTCCGACAGCTCTCCAAGGACTCTACAATTTTTTGGGACAGGGGATGGTAGTGCAGCAATTTCACTCCATTTTTGGGCCTCGCCATGCAAGCCTGTCTTTTGGTCAGGCAGTGGCCGCCGCGCCACTAACCCAAGTTTGAGATGTCAGAAAGTTGTCAGACATGGAGCGGTTCTCATTTTGCGAGCTCTCACAAACCCGGAAACTTCCCCAACTGCAATTTAAAAAAAAAAAAATTGGTAGGAGGTTTGGCCGGCAACTTCCTTGGTCAGGTTGGGACCGGCCCAGACTGCTGGTCTGTACTGATTTTGTAGTGACGAGGTTAAACCACCAGTACCTCGCTCAGCTATTGAATCCGAGCCTCCCAGCACGCTGCGTGCCAAGGCCTGCCCAACCGCCGTCGCAATTTTCTTTTTCGTTTTGCCTGCGGCCTCCAGCCAAAGCGGTCCGGCAGGCCGAAGCCCAAATGGCGTGGCGCGTATACGGGAAGCGCCGCGGCCGATAGCTGGGCCAGGTACTGGTGGTTTAAGTTGCCAAATTTGGGAACGGCAGGTCACTTCCTTAGGCGTGGACCCAACTGCCTGGAGGTAGCTTCGCGCCTGGAAAGCTTCCGCCAAAGCCAAATTGTAGGTCCTGTCGATTGGAAAGAGAAACCGGACCCCATCGTAGCCCAGATTTTCGACGAGCCTGTTGTTGTTGGTTACCTGCTTCCCATCTTCTTGTCTCAGTTCTCACCCAATCCCTGGCTCCCCTTTCCACATGGGATGGTATTGAGGG